TATGAACAGTGTATCATCCAACCGGAGGGGGACAGTTCTTCTGCCCCTCATTAGTCCCTTATTTAGAGTCCTTACATGAACATTATATCATTCAATTTGGGATCCTTGCATGAACAGTGCATCATCCAACCCCTCAGGTCCACTATTTGGGGTCCATGTAGAAGCGCCCTTAGGGGGAAAACATAAGGTTAGATTTAGGAGATCAGCCTTTGATTCAAAGCTTATTTCAGAAAAACCCCTTAACCCTGGACGATCGTAAGATAACCCCGTAACTTTAGGAATTATCACAATACCCCCTTCAACTTTAGGATATTTTTTTTAGAACCCCAAAAGAGTGAACACACATTTGTTTGTGTGAATGTTTTTTGTTTTGCTCGTGTTAGGAGTTTCGAGTACTTAGGTGGCGTTCATGCGATTGTGGACTGGTCACGCTTGCGTTATGTATCTGGACACGTTTGTGTTCTCTAGTGTTGACGCGTGTCACTTTTGACTTGTGTTAGGAGTTGAACAAAATTTCAAAACAGCCCAAAAAAAAATTTTATTTTTCAAAATCGACCCGGTTTTTTTTTATTTACCAAAATCGACCCGGTTTTTGCCATGTGGGCTTAATGACTTTTTTAAACAGTCGGGGTTGGCAACCCCGACTGTTTAGGACATGCAAATTTCGGGTTTAAGAACATTAATTATGGTTTAACACATTTCTAAACAGTCGGGGTTGCCAACCCCGACTATTTAGGAACGTCATTAAGCCCACGTGGCAAAAACCGGATCGATTTTGATAAATAAAAAAAATTAGGTCGATTTTGAAAAATAAAACTTTTTTTGGGGCTGTTTTGAAAACTTGTTCGTTAGGAGTTCCAGTAGATAAATGATGGGTTTTTTTTTTTTTTGGTTAGTCGCTTGAAATACCAAGAAAATTCTCTTTCAAGATTCATTTTCAATCAGCAATATTACACAAGAAATAAATAAACAAACGAATAGAATAAATAAACCAAATAAAAAAACGAATAAAATGAATTTATATCATCTCCAACATTACGGATGCAACAATGAACGCAACTAAATCCAAATTAAGGACCCCCCCCCCCCCCCCCTCCTTCGCCTCAAAAAACCAATCCACACAGCTCAACAAGCATGCACGCAAAACTCGCAAACGCCCACCTAAACCCTCCACTCCGCCGCTCGTCGGAGCGAGCCGGCCTCTCAGCCCCAACCGTGCCGGCGCCTCCCCGGAGAGGCCGCCGGCGCGAAGAATCGTAACGCGGCCTCCTCCTCGCTCTCTGACCCCATCACAAACCACGGCCATCTTCTCCCCTTTCTCACAAGCTCCGCTCTCTCCGCTGACGAAATAGTACGGCCCGGATTTCTCGAGCTCGACGGTCACCGTGTCGCCTCGACGGTCGGCGATTGGGTTTGAGGTTGTGCAGGTTGAGTAGTCTTCTCTGCTCACCTGGAGCACCGAGTCCCCCTTCCCTTTCAAATTCCAAACTGAAACCATGATAATAACAACAGCGACGACGATGAGAGAGCGTCAGCACTTTAGTTTTGAGTTGAACGGCTAAATTTCCGTTTCAGGATGAGGTGTATGAGATTAAAACGTTACCGAGGGAGTCGCCGACTTGGAAGCGGGTGGCTTCGGCCCACTGGTTGAGAGTTGGGGAGGTCGGAGATGGGATTTTCCAGGCGTCGGAGCTGCCTCCGACCAAGAAGTCTCTGGCTTCTGAGGTTGCTGTTATGAAGAGGAGAGCGAAGGCGGTGGTGAAGAGGTGAGGAGCCATTTTTGAAGCTTCTCAGCGAGAGAGACTGAGCTGCGTATTGAATGTAGTAATGAGAGATTTGGGTGCGTGCGTATTTAAATTGGGAAAGAGAGGGAAACTAGCCGTTGGAAGAAGCCTTGGAGGTCTCAATTGTTTCCGTTTTTTATTTTATTTTATTTTTTGTTGGGATTTTTTTATTATTAAATGGGGGAGGAGGGAGACGTTTTAGTCCAACGGTCGAATTTTCAACTAGAAGTAGTTTTGTTTTTCTTTCCAACTCTCAGAAGTAGTTTTTGTTCTCTCTTTTTGTATAATAAACCTTGTTAATATGCAGTAACATTTCGGTTTATGGATGGGTTTTTGTCACGTCTTCAGTGAAGTAACTAAGACTCAAAAAACCGAACAAATAATTTGCAGCGTAGGAGACGAGAAGAAAACTTGAGAGAAGAGGAACCCTCGTATGCATAAAGTATCTGAATTGGTTCACAATGTTGGGAATTTTAACGCCTAAATCCCCTAATGCAACGGAAACGCAGATAGAAAACAGTACACCAAGATTTACGAGGTTCGGCAACTGCCTACGTCCTCGGGAGCCACACAGTTAATTTCTTATTTAATCTAACAAGAAATTACAAATCAAGAGCAAATCCCTAAACTGAGATTTCTCAGATTGAACACTGTAGCTACAGTGTTAATATTAAAGGGAATAAACCCTTTCAATTTCTCTCTCAAATAAAACCCCTCTTTCTTTCTTCTCTCTCTCTCTAATCCTTTTCTAATCTCCCCTCAAAACACCTGAGATCTGGAGATTAAAAGGGGAGAAATCGCTGCTGCGATTTCAGAGCCGAAGATGGGGAAAACGCCGCTGCGTTTTTGGGTCGCCGCCAAGAGAAAACAAAGGGGAAGCTCAGCAATCTAGGGCATCGAAAGGGGGGGCTTTTATAGCCGAGATTCGTGAGCTGGCGACAGCCTGTCGCCAGCGGATGTCCGACGCGAGGGTGGGAGGCGAACGCGGGGGTCGGTGTCGAGGGTCGCGTTCGTCGAGCGAGGGTCGCGTTCGCCCAAAGCCACCATCGCGTTCGTCGTCGAATTCGCTGAGTCGACGCTCGCCTACCATCGTGTTCGCCAATCGAGCTCAACTGCTCGAGTTCGTCGGCGTCTTCCTGGAGCTCATCGGAGCTCCTCCGCCGTCGTAGGTTGGTATCCACCCCCAACCTAACAATCTCCCACTTGGAGACCAAACCGACGGCAACAGGCTATCTCATCAAACTCCTCTCCTGTGTGGCTCCGCCCTCATCATCTATGCATGAAGGCCAACTGAAGTTGCACACAACTCTAGTTTCTGAAAGGTCGCTGCCTTTGTCAACATATCCGCTGGATCCTTTCTTCCTTGGATATTCTGTTGAAATCCTCTAACAACTTGTCGGGCTCTGTATCTTCTGGAACCATTCTGCTCCTTTTTCACTCGATACACCCACTTGTTGTGACGTGCCTTTTTCCCCATGGGCAACTCAGCTAGTCCCCATGTCTGGTTGGAGATCAGAGATTTCTTCTCTTCTTTCGCAGCAAACTCCCACTTGCTCGCATCTCCACTCTGACAAGCTTCATCAAAGCTTTCAGACTCTCCTCCATTTGTCAGCAACATATAATTCATGTATCTGCTGTTAGGCACAGGAGGACGAGTGGTTCTCCTCAATATCGGAGCTGGTGCGTCGGGCTCCTGCGCACCGTTTTGTCCAACAGGCTCTTCTGCCTGAGGACCTTCTGCATTGGGTTCTTCCGAGAGGTTATCTGGGACATCATCTGCATCTACAAATGTTGACTCGCTCTCTGAGTCACCGTCATCTGTCTTGTGCATGTCCTTGTACATCACCTTCTCGTTGAATGTCACATCTCTGCACCTGATCACCTTCTTGTTTTCGTTGTCCCAAATGCGGTAGCCGAACTCGTCTTCACCATACCCGATGAATGTGCATATCTTAGACTTGGGATCAGGCTCATTCCTGCCTTGATCACTTATATGCACATAAGCTACACAACCGAAAACTTTGAGATGTGAGAGGGTTACCTCCTTTCCGCACCATACCTCTTCTGGTATTCTGTGCTCCAATGGAACCGATGGACCTCGGTTGATCAAGTAAGCTGCTGTGTTGACTGCTTCTGCCCAGAACTGCTTCGGTAGGCCTGACTGCGTCCGAATGCTTCTGGCTCTATCTGTCAACGTTCTATTCATGCGCTCAGCCACACCATTGTGCTGAGGCGTGCCGGGCACGGTCCTCTCCATTCTGATACCGTGCTCATAGCAGAACTTCTTGAATCTGGTGTCTTCATACTCACCACCATTGTCTGTTCTGAGTTTCTTTACCCTCAAACCGGTCTCATTCTCGACCATGGCTTTCCATCTTCTGAAAGCCTCAAACACTTCTGACTTTTTCTTCAGAAAGTAGACCCATACTTTCCGAGAGTGATCATCAATAAAAGTCACGAAGTAGTGTTTCCCACCAATCGACGCGGTGGTTGTTGGTCCCCAAACATCTGAGTGAACAAGCTCTAGCTTCTGCTTCCTGGGGGGTCTGCAACTTGTCTGAAAGCTAACTCTCTTCTGCTTTCCAAGTATGCATTCTTCACACACATCAATCTCTACTGATTGTAAACCTGGGAGTTTTCTCTTTGTGTGCATAACCTTCATCCCCTTTTCACTCATATGACCGAGTCTCTGGTGCCACAGCTTTGAAGTCTCATTGCCTGCCGCAACTGAGATCGAACAACGTGCACCTGCTGTCATATACAGGGTACCAGTCTTCCTACCTCTGGCAATCGTCATTGCGCCCTTCGAAATCCTCCAGTCATCTCCATGGAAAGTCATCGTGTAGCCTTCACTAGCCAGCTGGCTTACTGAGATTAAGTTCCTCTTCAGGTCGGGAATATACCTGACATCCTTCAGCTCCCATACTGACCCATTCAGCTTAATCTTCACTACACCTTTGCCAATAATGGCACATGCTTGATCGTCACCAAGATATACATTTCCAAGGTTTCCGGGGATATACTTCTCGAGGAATTCTTTCTGAGAAGTAGCATGGAATGATGCTCCCGAGTCCAACACCCAAGACTCCTCCTTGCTCTCCAAAGAGCATATCAGCGCATCATCTCCTCCTGAGGTGGAGGCAACGTTCACATCTGCATTTGCCTCCCACTCCTCCCGTGCACTCCTGCACTGATTCTTGTAGTGCCCGGTTTTCCCGCACTTCCAACACTCGATAGCCTTCGAACTGTTGGGATTTCTGGATTTGGATCTCCTATCATCTGATCCATTTCCTCTGGTTGAACTTTTACCTCTTGACTCTGTATGCAATACTGAAGAGGTTGTAGCTTCACCCGACTCTCTCCGTCGGATCTCCTCACTGAGAACCAGATCACGAACGTCGTCAAACTTCAACTTATTGCTTCCCGATGAGCTACTCACAGCTGTGACCGTAGCGTTCCAACTCTCTGGTAGGGAAGACAAAAGGATCAACGCTCGAACTTCCTCATCAAACTCAATATCAACTGAACTCAATTGGGTCGTGACTGTATTGAGTTCATTGAGATGATGTGCTACCGATGCACCTTCCGCCATTCGCAGATTAAACAACCGCCTCATCAAATGGACTTTATTTGAGGCTGATGGCTTCTCATACATATTGGAGAGTGCTGAATCCGAAATCTGATCCATCAAACTTCTCTAATCTCACCTTTCCCTCATCTGCGGCCATGGCTCCCACTTGAATCTGACTTCCTCTAGATCGTTTCATGCTCTGATACCAGTTGTTGGGAATTTTAACGCCTAAATCCCCTAATGCAACGGAAACGCAGATAGAAAACAGTACACCAAGATTTACGAGGTTCGGCAACTGCCTACGTCCTCTGGAGCCACACAGTTAATTTCTTATTTAATCTAACAAGAAATTACAAATCAAGAGCAAATCCCTAAACTGAGATTTCTCAGATTGAACACTGTAGCTACAGTGTTAATATTAAAGGGAATAAACCCTTTCAATTTCTCTCTCAAATAAAACCCCTCTTTCTTTCTTCTCTCTCCCTCTAATCCTTTTCTAATCTCCCCTCAAAACACCTGAGATCTGGAGATTAAAAGGGGAGAAATCGCTGCTGCGATTTCAGAGCCGAAGATGGGGAAAACGCCGCTGCGTTTTTGGGTCGCCGCCAAGAGAAAACAAAGGGGAAGCTCAGCAATCTAGGGCATCGAAAGGGGGGGCTTTTATAGCCGAGATTCGTGAGCTGGCGACAGCCTGTCGCCAGCGGATGTCCGACGCGAGGGTGGGAGGCGAAGACGCGATGGTCGGAGCTCTGAACGCGGGGGTCGAGCCGCGTTCACACCGAGGGTCGCGTTCCGCCTTCCGAGGGTCGCGTTCGCCAACGCCACCATCGCGTTCGTCGTCGAATTCGCCGAGTCGACGCTCGCCTGCAACAACCTGGAGCTCGTCGGAGCTCCTCCGCCGTCGGAGGTTGGTATCCACCTCCAACCTAACACACAATACGATGATATGCAATAGTTTAACACTTTAACAGAATAATAAATACACTGCACCAAGTCTACAATAAACTTAGAGGATAATGTATATCCTCGTCATACGAGGGATTTAAGGTTTTCCTCACATAACAATAATACGGCATAATCTCCACCAAGTGAACAAAGAAGAAGAAAGAAACACTTATATGACATATGAGACCCATTAACCTCATAAATTTAACTTCTCTTGTAAAAGAAAATCCCCCATATTTTTGGTACAGGCAACACTGCAACAAATTGTTTGCTGATAATTACAGTTTCCACCGTAATGAAAGCCAGAAATGGAAGTGGAAACTGGAGCTGTTGCCTTCATCAGGTTGTACGCCATGAAAAATAGGGATCCCCAGAAATTTTTTTCTAACCCTTCAACTTTATATTTTTTACGTTTTGCCCGAAGCTCGACTCAGAATTCAGGTTTCCCACCTTCATGTCAATATTTACCGGGTTATTCCCTGTCAATCAAGGAGACTGCTCACGTTCCAGTAATCCTGGATATTTTTGCTCTTCTGCTTTGAGAATGGTAATCGAGTAACAGGAAAATTATAATCTAGCATGTAAAAAACAAAATCAAGTAAGCTATTTCAATACCTACTAGCAGCATATGTGCAAGGAAATTTGAAATTCAGAAGAGGATCATTAAACCAACACCATCGGCATGCAAAAATTTAGATAGCAGCTAGTAGAAGGGAAAATTTGCAAAATAGACCATTTTTATGAAATATATAGCGAAATAGACCACTTTGAAAAATAATTAGCAAAATAGACCTCTTTTGAAAAAAAGAGGTCGATTTTGAAGAACAAGGCTCAGAAAACATACAGGACTACTAGTCCTGTATGTTTAGAGCCAACTAATCACGGATTAGTGACTCAGAAAACATACAGGACTAGTAGTCCCGTATGTTTTCTGAGTAGAAAATTTCACTAATACGTGATTAAAACATACGGGACTACTAGTCCCGTATGTTTTCTGAGCTGTTTTGCAAAATAGACCTCTTTTTGGCCTGTTGGCCAAAAAGAGGTCTATTTTGCTAATTATTTAGCAAAACGGTCTATTTTGCTAAATAATTAGCAAAAACGGTCTATTTTGCAATTTTTCCCCTAGTAGAATCATAAGGCACAAAATTGGTACAATGATATTGATAGCAGTATAATGAAGTAACAATACACTTCTAAACAATTATAATCAGTATCAATGTCTAAGGCGGCCGCGTTAAACAAATAAGCCTTCCTATAATAAAAAAAAATTTGACTTTTTGACCGAGGAATAATAGGTGAAGAGTTGCCTTATGAAAAAGAGGGATAAACATGAATAGATAGAACTCAAGCAAGTGTCAAAAAGAATTAAATAGAGAAAAAGGGGTGCAAGACCAAATGGGAACATTCGGGTAAAATTTTCATGTTTGCATTACAGAGGGTACTAATATGTCAATTTTAAAAAACTTATGGTATATAAATGTGTGAAAAACAAGTGGAAAGTGAATGAAACTATAAGGTATTAGAGTGTTATGTTAGCTCTCTCGCTTTAAGGAATACGTCACATCACTTTAATTCTTGGAAAGCTGAAAATCACCTGTATTCTATTAATATAGCAGAGATATAGTGGCATATGAAAATAAAAGGACTGAAGGATTAGATATTATACCTTGACAATGTATACCGAGACATTTTCCATTTATGAAAACTATGAATAGCATGCTTGTTGCCATCCAAAGTTTCCACTTGCCAAGTCGCAATGTGACATCATCATCTGCTTCAGAATAGGATTTCATGCAGGTGACTCGTGTTATAAAAGCTACTACATAACTGTTCTGCTTCTGTTATGTCCTTCAGATCAAAATATCATTTTCCCAAGTTCTTCATGAATTTTTACATCTTTAGCTCCACGAGCATTTTGTTGTCCACAAGGTTTGACAATAAAGTCCTTGCCTCTGCCCCAATGGTTCTTGCTGCTCGCTATAAATGTCTCAAAGATCTTCTCGAGTTTAGGATCACCAGGTAACCCTTTTGATTTCATTTCATTATAGAACTCCATAGCTTTCGGAATCCATCCTTGTGTTACCAAACCTTGAACCACTTTCGTGTAATGTGAAGAGTCAGGAAAGACGTTGTACGTGCTCATTTCACTCCAAATTTTCAATGCACTTTCAGATTCCCCCAATCTAAAGAACTTATCAAAAATTAGAAGAAAAGTATAACTATCTGGGCCATAACCAACCTCGTTCATTTTCTTGAGTAGTTCCAATGTTCCTTCAAAGTCTTCTACTTTAGCATAAGCATGGTAAGTTTCTATTGTTGGATCAATACCATTCTTGATCATGTCATCAAATACGTCCCGTGCTTCCTCCACCTTTCGAGCTTCACATAGAGGATATATCATGGAGTTGTATGTTTCAATATCTGGCTTCAGACCTGCCTCTAAAATTTTATCAAAAGTCTTTCGTGCTTCTTTGAAGCAATTCTCTCTCATTAATCCATAAATGAGAGAATTATAGATAACAAGGCCGGGAACCCAACCTCTCTTCTTCATTTGATCATAAAGCCTAAGGGAATCAATAAGATTACCAACCTTTGAGTAGCAACAAATCATATGGGAATAAGAAGTACCATCTGGGATAATGCAGCAATTTGACATTTCCCTCCACACTCTCTTGGCTTCCACCAAGTCAACGATGATATTGCACCAGCCATTTAAGATTATGTTGAAGCCCTCGGTTTCAAGTGGAAAAAATTTCCGGTTTAATAGAAGCAATTCCTCAGCCTCTTCCACATTCTTATTTTTGCAAAGAGCGTGAAGGAGGGCGTAAAATGTTGCCGAATCTGCATCTATTTTGAACTTTTCCATGGCATGGAATGTTTTAATTGCCTTGCTCACTTCATTTGCAGCTGCATACCTAGACAGGAAATAACTTTGTATGATTAATATCAGACCACAATGGGAGTAATGCACAGAAACAGGCAAATGATCATTAGAGAATGAAACAAAATCCATATAATGCTGCGACAACACTTGTAACTTTTTACCAGAAAAAATGTTGATGAACTGAGATACACTACACCTCCTAGAAATATGAAAGAGAGAAACAAAATCCACTTTTAATGCAGTAAACATCATATTTAGCATTTAAAAAAAAAGACTTCCTGAGAAGTAATTAGCTATGGCTGCTCAAATTAGAAGGAAAAATAAAATAAAATAAAACACAACTTATGTGTAGACCTCATAGTCAAGGACCAGGAGGAAACAATCTAAAAAAAGGAATTGCAACATCCGGTAACTAGGCAGAGCTTCCAAGGGACGGGGAGCCATAAAGACCCTGTACTTTGAAGCCCAAAACTGAATGTGAAACAGATATTTGAAACATAATAAGCGTGCCAACACGAAAAATACAAGAAAATGAGGATATGAACGGCTCCTCGAAATTATTCCTTTTAAGTAGCATCACGGAATAAATCATTTTTAGTTATTCTAATAAAATACCAACATGCATGTCAAACATCAGTTTTGAATACATTTCCATTCTATTATACACACAAAAGCTCTTATCCTTTTCAAACTCCTTGTAGAGCATCTCATCCATTATAGTTATACTGTAAGTTAAAAATATATGCGCGTGACAGAAGATAATCACAATACCCCTTGTCTATTACTGACCTTCATTATTGTAATGAAAGAAAAAAAATCATATCTTCAAAAGCAGTGCACCATTCACAGGCAACGCTTGTAAGCATATGCTATATACGTTTCTAATTATGAAAATATCCGTGACGTAAAAAAGCAGTTCAAGCACAGCATCCCACAGAAAAGTTCACATCTTTATTCAAAAGACCCAACAGAGGCAAAGACACAAACACCTAAACTGCAGGAACCCACCTCCCCATCAAAACCACCATAGTCTCCGCGGTCAGCAGCGACTTCCTATGCATCCTACGCACCAGACCCCAAGCCAAATCAAACCTCCTCTCATTCCCCAGCACCCAAACCATCAGCTCCCACGCCTCGGGCCAGTCCTCGACAGAACCCCTCGCCCATTTGAAGACCGAAACCGCCGACTCCCAATCCGACCTCAGCTCCCACAGCGCGGAGCAGACCAAACCCTTCGTCGGTTCGAAGGGGGAGGACCGGAGGAGGGCCAGGGCTTGGTTTTGAGGCCGGGGGTGGGTTTTGGAGGTGGTGATGAGATTGAGGAGGGAAGGGAGGATGGGGTCGTCAGAAGAGGAGATGGGTCCGTCGGAACTGGAGAGGGAATGGAGAGAAGAAGATGTGAGCAGGGATCGGAGGAGGAGAGGGAGTTGGGTTTTGGTGTTGACGCGGTTTAGGATCACCGCGAGTGACATCGTCGTCGTGGACCGGAGAAGGTCGGATTTTGCGGCTAGCGGTAAAATATAACTCAGTGGTTTATATATAGGACAAATTTTCAAAACAAACTCTTTTGCAAATTTATTCTCAAAAAACAACTCATTTCTTTCTTATTTGTAAAAACCGACCTGGTTTCATCCTTAGCACTAAAACCATATCGGTTTTTACAAAAATAGTTCTGAAACTTCACGGGAGTTGAACTCCCGTGAAGTTTAGCAGCTTTTAATTAAGCTGCTAAACTTTACGGGAGTTCAACTCCCGTGAAGTTTCACAGTTCAAAAAATTTATTTTTGAACTAAGAAACTTCACGGGAGTTCAACTCCCGTGAAGTTTTCGGAACTTTTTTTGTAAAAACCGACCTGGTTTCAGCGCTGAGGCTGAAACCAGGTCGGTTTTTTCAAATAAAAATTAAAGGGGTCGTTTTTTGGGAATAAAATTACAAAAGGAATTGTTTTAAAAATTTGTCCTTTATATATAAGCTACTTTTATATAAGCCAAAAAAAGCCAACGGGCTTATTTTAACTTATAATAAGCCAAAAAAAAAAAGCGGCTTCACTAACAACCGGCTTATAAGCTATATAGTTTGACCAAATAAATATCAAGTTTATCCCTTAACCTTTAAAATAATTTCAAAGTCTATTCAATATTTAAATTTTGAGCCACACCCTTTTTGATCATTTTAACAACAATGGTGGATTATATAATCTACTCATTTGCCAAACACTCTCTCGTTAAAAGCGGCTTATAATTCTTTTTTTAATCAAACATTTTGACTTATAATTCACAGAGAAATAACAATGACTACTAATATATAATAATCCTTAAGGGTATTCTACACAAACCCTTTTTTTTAATAGGTCATTTTATATAGACGCTTGTAAAGGATTTTTGTTGCAATAAACCGCATAGGCTCGCTTTTCAGTTAATTTTTTACAATGCACCTAACTCCTATTAAGGATCATCTCTCTAGTATTCATGATATTTGATAACTACTTATTACAACAAAACTGAAAAAACTTGACTTAAAAGCGAGCTCAGTTGGTTGATTGCAACAAAAAAATTGTTTAAAGGTGGTTTATGTATAAATTGACATTGAAAATCGTTTCTACAGATCCATTCAAAAAAAAAAGAGGTTTATATAGAATAATCTTATTTTAAAGTTGATCTTCATTTTTAGATCAAATATATTGGATTTGTATCCTCTCTGGTACTAAAAAACAGTGGAGGGACCACGATTCTATCACAATCATTGACCATCTCTTTGATGGTTAAGATTTTTCTATGGGTGTAAATTTAGAATGAGTGTAATTCATGAGAGTATGATGAGTACTAAATTTAAAAAGAATCTCATCCACTCACTAGATAATCAACGATTATTATCAAAAGTAGTGATCTCTCTACTATTAATATCCAAATCCTATATTTCCATGGTTGAACAGCATCAGAGAACAAAATCCTTCAATAACATAAAAGTTGTACCCTTTTTTCACTTATTAATAGCAAGACATGTAAATTGGATTATCAAGAACCATCTCATGTTTTGAGTTGGAAGTACTTTACAAGTAACAAGAAAACGAAGGCCTCAATAATAATGAAATTAGAAAAATAAATTATGAAAAGCAATTTGCGGAAAATAAATAATTTATTAAGTTTTTTTCCTTATATTTGTTGCACATTGCGGGATCTCATAATTTTCTGATTCACAAATGATTAAATTCTCAAGATTTATTAGTTCAATCCATTATTAACAATTAAAGAGCGTGAGGCTTTAATTTAAAAGAAAAAAAAAATGCTCCTATTAGAAAATTTTTATTAGTATCCCTACCATGAAAAGCATTTACAAACTAATGCTATATTCATGAAAACCTATAGCATCATTTTATACATAATCCATAATCTACATGTACTGAAATTTCCAGAGAAATTATGAGTAAAAATATCCATATTGCAGATGAGTTAGAAGAATATTAGATTTATATTTGTTCAAAATACACACGATATAATATCTGGAGCCAATTATTCGTCCCAAGGTCCTCTCTCTCTTTTTAACCCCCCTACAAATAAAAGGGAACAAAAAAAAAGGGGAAGATATTCGAAAAGGTAAATGTAGAGGGCCTACATGAAAAATTACAAATCGACTTCCTTCTAACAGGCGAGAGGGTTTAATTCGTTCGATCGATCGATTCGAGCTCCCAAATCAAAAACAAATCCGACGAAATGGCAGGAGAAGGAAGCGGGGCTACTAACGCC